AATATATCGTTGCCCTGCACACTCTAGTCGATCTCCATGTCGGTGATGCCCATGAGCATACAACCTCCATCTTCATCATCTTCCATATGATGAACAATGCTCGTCAACAAGTGTGGCCAACCATGCCACCTTGACCATTGTCCATAGCATGAAGCTCCTCCATCTTTGCTCCATCAAGCCACTTGATATCTTCACATATCTTCACTTAACTTGATCTCCATGAATGATATGGTCCTTTCCATAGCTTCCATACGACCTTCAAGTCCTACCTTAGCCTTGTTTGCTCTTCACTGTTGCCTTGATCCATCGGCGCAAAACCCTCTGTTTGCACTTCACTGCCTAGACAGTTCGTCGTCTCTCGAGCCTCTGTCCTGCCCTTCACACTTGCACACGGTCCTTCGTAGCCAGGCCCTTGCCTTGATCTTCACTATCTTGCCATATGTGACTATGTCATGTCCCATATATTCAGTATGCCCCTTCTCTTGATCACCACTTGATCAAGCCATCTTCACTAGTTGAGCACTTGTATCACTTGCAAACATGTCATATCCCCTCTTGCAAAAACCTATTCATATCACATGAAACACTTAATTACCAAAACCAAACCAGGACTTTTACCACTACTCATGGAAACACCAAAAGATCACCCTAGCTCAAGGAGGCAGACATCGACATCAAGGTAAGCATCTTATCAGAGTTTCACTAGTTAACTAGGTTAGTGAGATGCATCCCACAGATCAACAAGGGTCTAGGGCGATCTTGCCTTTCCGTAAAAGGGCAACTAGGTTGGGTAAACCAAGGAGATGGCATTGAACAAGGTTGAGCTGCAAAGCGAATAAAGGTCGATAAGGTCTTAGTAAAGGCCTTGTTAGACGTCGAGCTTAATGAAGGACATGGCCCAGATTGTCTAAGGTGGTTGGGGATGGCTAGATGAGGTTAAGAGAAATACTTTCAACTCAGGAGAGTGCCAACCACGTCTCATCCCTAATTGAGGATGGTAGAAGGGGACATTGGTTGCTTGAATGAGCACTCCCTCGGCTAGTTGTTCGGCTGATGGTTTCTACGGCTAATAAGCCGGCTGATGCTGATTTGTTGTGAGAGAAAAATATTGCACTATAACGGATAAGCAGCTCAAGCGAACAAGAAAGTTTGACTTAAAACTTATTGGCAAATTTTTGGATAGACTCCAAGACATCAATTGAACTTGATAGAAGAATAAATTTGGAATCTTCTCAAGGTTTAGCAAGTGGTTTTGACAAAGCTAGACTTGGGTCACTACAAAGAGCTATAAGATTGTTGCATTTGAGTGTGTGCATATGGTGGGGGTGTGTAGGTGGGAGGGTGTTTCGTACTTGGATGGAATACATAAGGAGTGGCTACCTCAATGCGAGAGTTTGTTACTGGTATAATTATGAGATGGCACCCAGAGAAGACCAACGATAGAGGCATTTGAATCCAATAGTGGAAGGTATTGAGAGGCTACAATGCATCATGATGAAAATGGAAACTATTCTTAATCGCGAGCAAGAGCCAGGTGTGAACTAGAGGGCATTTGAAGGTTTTTTTTCTACCGAATGGCAATTGTGGGTAAATAACCAATTACTTAGTGGGTAGATACATAATAAATAGGACAAAGAGAAGGATTCAAGTGAGGAGTCGTATTTTGGTCGCTCCGTGTGGAAAACAGAAAAAAATGTTTTCTCCGCTTAGAGTGAAAGATACATAACATGATTGTACCAACAAGGCGATAAAAACACCGTCCAATAGATATATTTTAGGAAAGGACCACCAAGAATCCATCCCTATTCAAAACTCAAAATGGGCATGTTTGGGACTGCGGTTGCCGACCGCGCGGTGCGGTATGCGTATCGTAGCCCTCCCACCACGGTAAAGAAAACACAGCTCCTAGTTCATTTCTACGGTAAACGTGTCGTGCGCGGGGAAAAGAATCACCGCACGGTGGGGACGTTTGGCGCAATTCTCGGCTTCTTTTCGCTGCCGCCGCAGGGAACGCAGCCCCAAACACGCCCAATAGCTATTGCATCGAAAGTCCTGGCCACCAAGAAAGTTGGAATTCCATTTGTGCAAATATGCACGGGCATAATTTTTGGAAACAAAACATGACATCTTTTGATATGACGTAAGCAAAATGCACGTACCGAGTGCAAATCTACGTAAGCAAATAAGTTTTTTTTTAATAAGAGTAAGACAAGCAACTTACTGCATTCTTGAGTTTTTTTTTTCCGCTGTCGTCCGGCAACGGACGTATCTTCTCGAGGAAGACAAGGTACTGAAGCTTGAGAATGAAAAATGAAGGGTCAAACAAATTTGCCGAAACCATGGACACCAAAGAGGAAGACAAACAGTCACAGCCAATCACGGCGCCAAAACATGCAGCGCAGCTTCATCATGGTCCTCATGGGTCCTGGATATGGCGGAAAAACAGGTGGTGGCCGTTGCAATTGCAGCCACATCCCAACTCCGGCTCCAGGTCCAGGCCGCTCCAACACCGAAGCAGCCAGCAACAGCAGCAGCTTGCCCCTCCTCTCCGACTCCAACCCAATCCAATGGCCCTCCTCCGCCCCCGTTGTCTCACCTCACGCGCTCCCTGCCCTCCCTGACCTGCCCCCAGCACGACGCGATGCTCCGCACCGCGTCGGATAGATGGACGATATTGCTGGGCAGCCGGGAAGGAAAGGAGACGACTCTTCCCGTGCCGTGCTGACGCCACCACCACGCGGCCCCGGTCTCCTCTCGCCCTCCTCTCCTCCGTCTGGATCTGGTCCTATCCCCTCCCCACCCTCCGCCGCCGTCCTCGCCCTCCCGGCCTCAGCCACGAGCCAGACCGCCGGGCTCCTTGCCTCGTCTCGCCTCGCCGGCGAGATGGACGGCGGCGGGGAGACGCTGCTGGTGCGGAGGAGCAAGGGCAAAAAGAGACCGCAGCAGCCGGCGGCGCCCGCGAAGAGGGGCTCCAGCGGCAGCGGGGACAGGTTCCGCACGCTCTGGCGGGACTACCACGACCTGCTGCAGGTGAGTGGCGCCAGTCTCGTCGATTCTTGCTGCGCCCAACAATCTTTTCGCCCTTTGCAATTTTCATGCCGCTCTACTGTTTCGAGCTGTTCTTATTGTGGGTCCACCGCCGGCTTGATTGCTGGATTCCTCGTGCTATCCCCCTGTTTCGGTTGCTAGTACTCGTGATTCTTTTCTGCCGTGGGACGGGGATTCAAGAACTCCATCCAATAGCATGGTCATTACACTTGAAGCTGATACAACATTTGATGCAGGAGACTGAGGCAAAGAAGAAGAGGCTGGCGAGCACGAAGCGGAGAAACCTCGCCTTGCTTGCTGAAGTCAAGTATGACAGTTCTTCGGCTCCTGCTTTATGGCTCCATGTTACTATGCTATATCATCTTGTTATTCTTCATGCTGGCATTATTACTGCTTTTCAGCTTCACTAACTGTGTAGCTGCTTTCTGTTGCAAGGTTCTTGCGAAGGAAGTACCAATCCTTTCTGAAGGGTGGCTCGCAGCAGAAACATTACAAGTTGAAGAAGCAGGCTCGGTACATGCCATCCCCATTGGGAAGCAACAAGGCTACATCGCTAGCCGATCATGGTGCAGGGACAGAAGTGCCTTCTACCAGCAAAAACCCGAACCTTCACTTAAATCAAGATTCTGTTCCGGTAAGTGTTGGAGTTCATGAATTAACATAAACTGTATAAGAAGAGTGTTTTTATGGCAATAAAAGGGCCTTCTTGTCTGCAGAATGATGTGGGGAATGATTGCCAGGGGCAACAGGGCCATCCAGAAGTCGAAAAGTTTGATCAGGTCGGGGTGGACGAAGACATGATGACAGCTGATGTCAAATTATCAGTTTGTAGGGATACAGGAAACTCTCCTGCAAGTGAAGGTAAGAGGACGGTTCCATGGCAAGACCGGTTAGCGTTGAAGGCCTAGGCCATCAGTTGATGTTGCTAAGAAATAAGCTGCTTCTCTGATAGGTGGCTTTGCAACTGTATCCCTCAAATGCTCAGTAGTGCTTTGTACAGAAACAATGGGATGTGATAGTTATATGCATGTTACATTGCCTGATTGACAAAACTCAGATGGTTGTACCATGCTCCTAAGCAAGTTAGACAAGAGAATTGTGATTTTATGAATGGTTCTGCCCAGATTTTGGAGCTTTGAATATGCGTTTGTGCACTGAATGTATTTTCAGTCATCCAGACAAGCAAACGCTTTACCAATGATCATGAATTCTATGAATTGCAAGTTTGGAGTGTTAAATTTCTGGTTTCACAGTTTAGGTTTTAAATAGGCTCTTTAGCGATGATCACGAGGACAAATGTAATAATTGTTTTTTTGGTTTTGTGTAGCAAGTTTTATGTTTGGGTGTTGCATTTTTAAAATTGGAGTGTACTATGGTCAATCAGCATGTAGATTCGTTTCAAGGAATATTTGTTTTTTATAAGTAAATATATGTACCCTTTACTGTGAATTGCAAGTTTGGAGGTTTGAATAATCTGTTCGCTTCGCTGAAAAGTCAAACTGAAAAGTATTGTTCACTGATTTGTTACGAGAGAAAAACCCTATAACATGGCTGATAAGCCTGGCTGATAAGTTCAAGTGAACACATATACAAGTCTCTTTAACAATGATGGGGGTGGGTGTTGCATTTTAAAAACTGGAGTATACCAGATACTGTATTATTTAACCAGATGTACATATATATATATATATGTTCTATAGGTATAAAATATTCATACTCCATCCCCACATCCAAAAACATTGATTAAATAAAAGAGCATCGGTGGCACTATAGACTAGACATTCATGATCAAACTGTATGCTAGCATTGCAATAAAGTAGCAGTAACATAAATTATGGTAAATGAATTATCATGTCAAATGATAAGTTGTACTACTTGGTAAATGAAAAGCCAATTGAAGTCTCTTCAATATGAATGGATGGTGCTGGCATTTCGCTCTACAGCGTCCCCAATCAGCAGTAGTTCAGCTTTGCCAAATGGGCCTTCCCAGTACGATGGTGAGCAAGCATCTTTTCGCTGTTGCACTGCAGATTGCAAACCTCGCAAAAACTCAACGACATCCGTTTCTCCACCTTCTCTGTGTGATTCTTCCCCTTTCGATGTTCAGCTAGTGTATTCTTGCTGTTGCAGTGCAAATTGCAAAGTTTGCAAAAGTATGTCGCCCTATGTATCTCCGTCTCCTCAGTGCTTGCACCCTTAGCTGTCTTGAAACCACCTGAGCTTGTGATTTGGCCTCCCTTCCGTAGAGCTTCTACCTTCTGTTGGTGTCCCCTGCTGCTGCAGTGATTCTCAAACTGAGATACAGAGTCACATTTGGCCTGACAGATACCGCAACCCCATTCTGTCAGATATTGCTTGCTTTCCACCTGTAGAATCAGAAAATTCAGCTGGTGTCTCTTGCCTCTTAGGTGGTTCGCCATGTCTGACTGACGACTGCACTTGGCTTGGCAGAGGCTGCAATTCCATGTTGAAGCAGGGTTGTTGTCTTCATCCTGTGTCACAATGTTTGGTTGTGAATTCAGCGACCCACAATTCACTGCCATGTTCTTGCATTCTTCCAGCAGGGATTGGATCTTTGCTTTGTGTCTTTTGCCTCTCAGGTGGTCCTCCAGGTTTGATTTGCAGGTGCAATTGGATTGGCAGAACCTTCAGACCCAAGTTAGACGTGGCTTTTCATCATATTGCCGCATATTTTCGGACTTCGCAGCAGCTGTTTTTGCTTTCTGACTGTTGGCATTGTTTCTTGATACAAAGGCTGCTACTTTAGACCGGTGCTTCTGCCCTGCAAAATGTTGTTGTAAGTGGCCCTCGGTGGGTGCTCCCACCCGGCAGATGTCACAGCTCCATTTCACTGAAGAAGGCGTCGTCTTCTTGGCCAACGTAGTCTGTTAATTTTACAATCGGTTTGGTTAGATATTCAGAGAATTGCTTGTACGGACTGCACTGAATCAATGGCGAAATCAGGACAAGCATTATTTGCTAACTAAATCATTTCTCTAAGCAGTTTGATAAGGCAATAGGTTTGAGCACAGAAAAGAAAGAACAGGTTTCATGAGAGCTACTACAAGTCTGACCGTAGCAGTGACAGTCTCAGAGTTCAGCCTACTTACGAAGCAGATTGAGCAGATTACAGTTCACTAGAGTAAAACACAGGCAAAGGAAATCTTCATATACATAAATCTATAAGCAGAACAGATAGTATTAATACCGGATGAGGAAAGCAACATGGCAGGATGCTCACTCCATTGGATTCTTGTTGCCTGAGTGCTGCGCTGCATTTTCCTGACCTACTACTACGTACCGACTACCGAGTTCTTTCTCTAAGCAGTGTGATTACGGCATTAGATGTGAAAGTGTGGAAAAGACGAAAAGTAGACAGTAAACCTGCTAGGGAAATCTTCATATACTTCTGAATCCTAGAAAGGAGTAAACAAATACTCAATCCATCCCAAATTGTAAGATGTTTGACTTTTTTGACATCAGGTTTGACCATTTGTCTTATTCAAAAATTTGTGTAAAATATCACTTCTTTCGTCGTGGTTTGGTTTATTAATAAAATTTCTTCAAGGATGACTTAAATTTGATTATATTTGCACAAATTTTTTTAATAAGACGAGTGGTCAAACTTAAGGCTAAAAAAGTCAAACGTCTTATAATTTGGGATGGAGGGAGTACTCCACATGCCACAAACGCATAAGCAGAACACAAAGTCCTAACACGAGATCAGATGGAAAGGAAAACATCATGTTAAGCTGCTCACCTCATTGGGTTCTTGTAGTTTGCTCTCATCAAGAGCTGCATTTTGCTGACCTGCAGCGTTTCCGGCACCACAAGAAATTTTCAGGCATTCACGGACGAGATCTCCCGTGGCAGGCTTCTGGGACTCGAGTTCTACACCCCCGCGCACTCCATCTTTCTTCTTCTTCTTCTTCATATCGTTTTCCACATCCGCGGCGACAATACCATGGTCTGCACGTCCAACCGCCTCTCTGCTGTGCGGCGTCTCCTCGAGGAAGGAGAAGAAGGGCGCCACCTGGCTAGCACGCTCGGCGTCGGCGGCGCGCAGGGCCATGGCGCGCTCTATCTTGGCGAGCTCGGCCAGGATGATCTCCTGGCGAAGTTGGTCCTTCTGGAGCTGCGACAGCAGCGCGTCCCTGATCACCAGCATCGTCGACGAGTCTTCTGCACGAGCGTGATGCGTCGGAGGCTCGGGGAAGCGGCGGTCTCGGCCGCCTTCGTCGCCGCACGCAGCGGTCGCTGGGCCTCAGCCGGCAAACAACTCCATCGATCTGTCCATGCTGTCCTGAGGAGAGCAATGGGGCACAGCAGGAGGAGACGTAATATGGGTTTGCCGCCTCGGTGAACCAGAGCAAGAAGCTAAGGAGAGGAGGCACGACGCGAGGCCGGGCACTTAAAAAGGCCGGGGGGACTACGCGTATGGCGTATTCGCCGTCGAAACCCGCTTCAGGCGTCATTGTGACCGTCGCTCGGCTGCAGTGAATGAGCGGCTCTTTACCTTCGCATCCGCCCGTTCAGGGCTGCCTCGTGCGTTGCGCTTGCGCACGCGACTGCTCGCCTTCACCTTCGCTAATCGCTAGGCTTCCCATTCGTTCACCGCGTTCCCACGCGCACACGCGAAGCCTGGAAAACCGCTGCCACCAATCATACACCGGGCATCCCCGTCTTCCCCGCGCCAATCGACGGCAATGACATCCACGCGCGCCGACTACTAGCCCAATCGGAGCTAGAGCTGGCACCACCGTCGGCTGCCATTGGTACCACGGCAGCAAAACCCTCTATCCAGGTGCCCGGCTGAAGTTCTGAAATCTCCGTTTAGGAAGTTGAAATCTCAATTAAGTTTCCAAATGGTTGAGTTAATTTAAAGTCGAAATTTTGGATCACTCCTAGTTTCAAATCTTCGAATTTTTGATTGATTTCCTGGTATACTGAAGGAGAAGGATATCGGCTTAGCCTGTTGTGATTCAGGTTCTGTTTCGTATGGTTTCTTTGCAAGCAGCTTCATCAAGAAGCCAGAGAACCTAGCACCTTCTTTATTAAAAAGCGTTTTTTTTCTTCTTCTACAGTTCCTCTCCAAGAGCCATGGAAATTATTTACTGCAGCTATTAATTAAGAAAATTATTTCTACACGAGAATAAAAATAGAAAGAGATGATAGGAGAGGAAAAAATAGATGATTACACAAAAATCTATTTAAAGAAATCATACATATGTCAACGTCTAGTGCTATATACTATGTATTTTTGAATTAGCGAACGGATGACAATTGCAGTCGGTCACCAAAATGAATTGTTATAAATTGTTAACAGTGGCATAGCAAATAAACTTCATAAGTACGGTCCGTGTTCTACTGTACAATTTCACCATTGCTATTTTGGCAGACAAAAGCCACAACTGCATTTCGTTTATTCGCATTGAGCCTTTTCTTGTGCTTGTTCCCAGAAAGATGGTGAGCAAGCATCTTTTGGCTGTTGCACTGCAAATTGCAGACCCCGCAAAAACCCAGCAACTTCTGTTTCTCCATGTGTTCCTCCCCTTCACGATGCCCTGCAAGCATACTCTCGCTGCTGCACTGCAAATTGCAAATCCCGCACGACCATAATGCTGTCTGTTCCTCCACCTTCTCTGAACTTGAACTATTGCTATCAGAACCATTTGAAGCTACTTTGTCCTCCGTCGTCAGATTGCTTGATTTCGCATTCACACCATCTCCTTGTAGAGCATCCATATTCTTTTGGTGTTTCTTGCCTCTGCAGTGATGAACAAGTTGAGATGCAGAGTAACATTTTGCCTGACAGATAACACAATCCCATTCAGAGGGCGGTTGCTGGTTCTTGGCAATTTCTGGTGGAAAATCTCCTGTTTTCTTGGCTTCTTCATGTAGGTCCTGGACATTCAGTTGGTGTATCTTGCTTCCAATTTGGTGCTCCTAGTCTAATTGGCAATCAGAATCAGCTTGAAATATGCTACAATTTGATCCTGAAGTCTGCTCTGCATTTTGCGGCGCAATGTTCGGAAGCACTGTGGCTTCTTGCGATTCAGAATTTCTTGACATGTTACGGATTTCGTCCAGTAGAGCTTGAAGCTTAGCTAAAAGGTGCCCACCTAACTCCAATTCACGAGCACAGTTTGCTAGGCAAATGGCAGAACTACACATTGAAGGTGGCTTCTCTGAATGCTGAGGTGCATTGCTCTTGTGGCACTCTGGTTCCTGCAGCTCATTATTCTTAACCATGATATCACCCTCTGTGAGTTGTGCTTCAATGTTTTGTTGGTGTGTTCTTCCATTCAGATGCTCCTTCAGGTCTGATTCACTTGTACCGACATGTTACGGATTTCGTCCAGTAGAGCTTGAAGCTTAGCTAAAAGGTGCCCACCTAACTCCAATTCACGAGCACAGTTTGCTAGGCAAATGGCAGAACTACACATTGAAGGTGGCTTCTCTGAATGCTGAGGTGCATTGCTCTTGTGGCACTCTGGTTCCTGCAGCTCATTATTCTTAACCATGCTATCACCCTCCGTGAGTTGTGCTTCAATGTTTTGTTGGTGTGTTCTTCCATTCAGATGCTCCTTCAGGTCTGATTCGCTTGTACCATTGACCTGGCATATATTGCAGCTCCATTTTATCAAAGATGTTTTCTGCCCTGTGCGGGAAGAGGATTCTTCTCTTAATTGTGCCTTCTGATTACTTGCTTCTTTTGATCGGTGCTTCCGCCCTGCACAATGTACTTGTAAGCTGTGCTCACTAGTTGCTTGCACCTGGCAGATTTCACAACTCAATTTGTGGCGTTGTTTCTTAACTGGTATTATTATTCCTGTCAATTCCCATTTCACTGAAGGCAAAGTTGTCTGGGGTTGTATGGTCTGTTTGTTTGACATGCAGCATGCAGTTTGATTAGACCATTGATAGCTGAAATGGCGAAATCACCTGGTAAACTTGCTACTGAATTCTATGAACTTTAATGAGAACATTACCAAATGGTTGCAAAGAAACCTAAACTTTCATTAGAATCTCCATACATAAAAAAAAAATCGACCGGGGGGGTTAAGACTGCCCCCGCAGCATTTCAAATAAGAAGAACCTTCTCACCCGGCCGAGAAAACCCCCGAACCCCCGCCCCCACCCTTACACGGTGGTTTTCCGTCGCCCAAGTGAGAATTGGGCCGGTGCCCCCCCAGTGCTTTGGTTATGGGGACGGGCGAGGGGATTTTTTTAACCTCAGCTGAAATTCGCTCCCACGGGGAGTCGAACCCAGGACCTGAGGAGTGCCGCTGGGTCACCTAACCGTTTGAGCTAGGCGCCCTTTGGCATCTCCATACATAAATCCTACCAAGTTGTTGATGTATCACAACTTGACATCATTCTGAAGATATAATAGCAAATATTGACGAAAAATAACTAACAGATGAGGGTAAAAATTAAAAAACAGAAAGGATAAAACGCCCACCTCACTGAATTCTTGTGATTTCTGCTCTTCAAGTTTTGAATTCTCCTGACCTGCCTTACCATTACAACAAGGTCTCAAGAATTCATCGACACCATCTTCCATGGTAGGCTTCTCAGACTTCAACGCTACACTCCTGTGCCTTCCCTCCTTTTGCTTGGGATTATGGATCTCATCCACATCGCCATAACATTCTTGACTGACTGACCATCGCCAAGGTTTCATGGACTGCTCCCTGAAGGTGAAGGGAACTGGCTTAAGTCCATTCCACATCATCAGCGGCAGTACCATGACGTGAACCGTTGCGCAGGACCATGGCATGCTCTATCTTAGCCAACTCTGCCTGGATGATCTCCTGGCGAAGACGGTCCTTCTGAAGCTGTGACAGCAGCGCTTCCCTAATCACCAGCATTGGGTCCACTGTACAAGGCACAAGCATTGTGGAATCCTTGATAGCAGAACACAATATAATATCACCAAATGAACATCATCAACGTCGTGACAGCATAAAAAAAATAAACACGACTGATTCAGCAAATGACCAACATGTGCATCTAATTGAACTAGCAAGGTGCTCTGAGCCTCTGAGGCTCTGACTATATGCTAAGGCTAGGCCTAAGAATGTTAGTCAAAGACGAACAAGTTTGTTAAAAAAAAATGAAAAAGCGAACAAGCTACGTTGATGGCTTGAAGCTTAACGAAACTAGCTATTCAGGAGTATTGTCTTATCAGGTGCAGTGGCATAGTAACTGAATCTTAGAAGTTAGAACCATCCTATACCGGTGATTATGCCAAGAGCCGAGCATAGTAACTGAATCGTAGAACTTTCCTATCCTGGTGATTATGATAAGAGCCCAAGAACCCTGCTTCCTTAATGGAAATTGGGGCTTCGCTTTCCAAAAGGAACAGGCAGCAAGGTACAGTATACTAGGTGCAGACTCTTGGAATCTTGGCATGGACCAAATGAATCGCTTGCATCCCCACGAAAGGAAACTTAAAAAGATTCCCCCTCTGTCTTTTGCTGTCCCCTCCCAATCTCATCAAAGAACACGAGCGCGGAGGTCGACTACAGCGGCGGTGAGAGGTGGGCCGCGCTACTTACCGTGAGGCGGCGGAAGGTGGATGAAGCGGTGGCCGTCGTCTACGCCGTCGTCGTCGCGGCCTCGGCGAGCGAATTCCATTGACCGGAAGCAGCGCGAGGAAACGGCACCGTTTTGCTGTTCCGGCGAGGACGGCGGGGGAGCGCCGAGGGGAAAGTAGCTTAGGGAAAGCAAATGGTTAGTTGACGGTGGTTGGCGATTTTCTTTTCCAGCTTGTTCGGCTGGTAAGTTGAGTTCTCAGCTTTTCAGAACTGAACTGGTCCAAATTAATCCAAAATCTACTGTGCAACCGATCAGCTGAACACGCCCGAATTTATTATAATCCTTTTCAGAACGACGAATCGGTTCCAGTTTTAAATCTATTCCATATTCAGATATTCCAGGATTAAGAGATGACTTGGCAATCTCAATATAATAGTCATTCCTACAGTCCCAGAAAAGTTATGCTTTAAAATAAAACAAATTATTCTAAAAACTTAATGTTTTAGCTCAGGAAGGCTAAGTTGGGTCCATATTAGCTTGACTTTGTAGTCTACTAGAGCATCAGGCGCACTTCCGGCGCCCTACAATAATTTAACAAAAAACAATTTTCGAACAATAGATATGGCTAAGATACAAAACACAATTATCGCTAATATTTTTGTAGCAGAACTGGAGCATTCACAAACATGAGTTGCATGGCCTTCGCAGCCGTTATGGTTATGTTCAGCCATAGATTACACAATCCTTCACTACATGTATGGCTACCGTAACCATTATGGTTCTATTCGGCCATATATTACATACTGATCCATTGCAGTTCATGATCGGAATTCATGCGCCCTGTCATTACTAGAAATTAATATTCATTTCAGCGGACATAGCAATGCAAATATCTATATTATGCATCTTAAGATCAGAAGTCATAATGGCCAAATATCATCGATGATAATTATCAAACACTTTAACCAGTAGCTTGGAATAGTAACCCATATGTGCAACGAGAAACACTAAATAGTAGCAAATTACACATTTTGCAGCCAAGAAGTCCACCAAGATCATTTAGTCGATTTAATAGAGTGGCATGTTTTTCGAACGCTAAACGACCAACACTAAGCATAAGTTGATCATCCACAAACAATTTGTTGCAGCTAATAGAACAATTATTAGTATACAACCTCCAGCTGTTAGCCTACCCTCATATTCAGTGCCAGGGCCTGCCCAGCCAATTTGATACATGTCACGAGAAACTGTTAAGGGACATTGGTTAAGAAAAAAGCTAACGAATGTAAAAGTTATCTATATATCTATACTACCTGTCGGGTTCATAAACCCGGGGGCCCTCGGGAGACCGGCTTCCACGCCAAGGCTTGACCCGAGAGTCTAAAAACAACAGGGCAAAGGGGCGGTCCAGCAACCGACCGGAAGGTCTGGCCCAAGAAGAGCAACGCCCGCTCGTCAGCTACTTCGACCCACCTATCCGACCGGAGCGCTTGATTCGGGCTCCAGCCACCTCCGGACGGCCTCTCCGATCGGAAGGCCTACCTCGAGCCCTACTTCCGACTTCGACCCCACGTCTCTCCGATCGGGGTATGTAAGAACCCTGCTCGCCACTCTTCTCCGACCGACGCAATCGAAGCCGACTAGGGCCATCTGATCAGGGACGCCCGCTCGGAAGAGACCAGGGACGAACGAAGAAAGCAGCACGCGAGTCAAACCATAGTACATGGACCATACCTTGTACACCTGCAGGAACAGTGTTCCATAACCACCCTGACACAAACAGTATTGTAGGCACCGACATTTATCCCTACAGTATTGTAGGCGCCGTTGGACTCCCGTACGGCAAAAAAGCCCCCTCACATACCTCTGGGCATCAATAGTGTTGTAGGCACCGGGATTCACCATACCCGGTAAACATGGTGAGACTTCTCACATGCCTCTAGGCATCCAGCAGTATTTTGCAGGTACCGACGTCAACCCTTCCTGAAGAAGACAACGCAACCTCCCATGTGCACCTGACATTCTACAGTGACATCAACAGTGTTGTGGGCACCTACCATTATCCAATCCTCATCGGCGTGGGCAACAAGGCTTAAAAGCATCCGTACCATCTCCCTCTCACCTATAAAGACATCCCCTTCATCTATAAAAGGGGATACACTCCCTTCAACAGGAGGACCGAATCATCCAAGCTCAGTTCCTTTAGATTCATTAGTCTAATTGCTCACAACCACAGAACCGCCAGGTTCGAACATCAAGCACACGCTTGAACACTTAGCTCATAGCGGAGTTCCCATCGCTCTCGGCCCTTCCGACCGGAGCCGACCAGGCCTCTGGTACCCCCATCTTTCTCCTTCTCGTTTGTAACCCCACTGCAGACTTCGAGCACCTAGGCTCAGGAATAAAGTCACCGACCGACCCAAACTGGACGTAGGGCACGTTGCCTGAACCAGTATAAAATCCCGTGTCATTGAGTGCTAGGCCACCTCCGATCACAACGTACAGCAAAACTACAAATATTCACTAGTTGGTCACTTTCTGTACCGACAGTTGGCGCCGTCCGTGGGGAGGATGCTGTACGTTCAACACTTTTTGGTCATCGGATGACCCATTTTTCCACCACCCCACCATGGCGGGCTCGGGCGATATGATTCGCTCCGGCTCGCTAGAATCTCCCGTACCCTTGTCTGCTGGGATGCGGGTTCCACCTGTTTTTGAGCCATCCCATGCCTTCCTCCTCGGAATCCTGGACTTTGTCGCCGACCGGCTCGGCGTACTACACCTCCGCTAGGAGACTCGCGACCGGCACTCGTCGGAGAGACGTCCTCCATCGACTCCGGGACGTGCGACTTCGATGGCGCGGCATCTGCGCTTCATTCCGAGCAAACTCTTTGCTCAACCCTCGCTGTGAGTAATATACATGTTGTTATTTATTTACTATGTTCTATCTTCCGCCAAATACCTAGAGGGTTGCCGTTGTCCCCATCGCTGCCACCGTACGACCGGTTCCCCTACGGCCTCGTGTCTCCTGCGGACGCATGCGCCAGGGGGCTCCAAAAGATTATGGCGCCGCCCCCTCTCACGTTTGAGTTTGTGGGGATGGCGAGCTATGCTCCCACCTATTTCCTCGACATCATGGATGACGACATCGGGAGTGACGGCTCCAGCATCGGCAACGTGACACCTAGCCACCGTCCGTCCCGTGAGTGCGCTATGGCGGACGCTTCGGAGCAGCCACCAGGGGTAATGGAGTCCTCACGGACTCATGCCCCTTCGGGCCCTCATGCGAAGACCCCCGAGCTCACACGTGAGCACAGGGAGGATCTACGTCGACAGTGGCCGCATCAGCCACCGACCGCACCAGTGTGCTCGGCGCACCACACTGCGTCCCGTGCGCATAGACCGACGAACAGCGCTCGGGGTCGAGCCCATCAGGTCCAGTGCAACACCCCGGTTAGGGGGACCGATCCCCCATAGTTCGCTCGGGCCTGTCAGAACATTGCCGTCGCGACAATGCTCCTACGCGGCCTGTCCAAGCCGAACGACCCTCGCGAACGGGCGATCCACCGGAACCTTCAGGCACTGCTGGAGACCACCGCCATTCAACAAGTGGAGTGCTCCGTATCACGACGCCGACTCGCGACCTCGCTCCCCGTTTGGGGAACAGGGATGCAGCAGATGGGGCACTACACCCTATCACCGCAACAACTACTGAGCGCGGCACATGAGGCCGCAATGGCACCCCATCTTGACCTGACGACCGCTCCACACCAACCACCTATCTACACGTGGCTCGAACCAAATCGAGGCACATGCAGCGGCGACCAGAGTCCCAGCATTGATGGCCCAGGGCCACCAACCTTTGCCCAACTCCCCCAGCAAGCGCCGTTCTCACCGCGCTTCAACGAAGGCCACGACAAAGGTAAGGCCAAGCGCCAGAATCAAGACGAGGGCCCCTCCACACAGAGTTGAAAAAAGAATAGAAAGGATCATCGCCGACCGGCCAACTCTGCGTTGGTCACCGCGGCGGATCACGTGGGCACTCAACCCTAGCAAGACCCTCCGGGCCACTTTCATGAGCTCATGAAGAGCCCGTGCACCAACCACGACTATCCCATCAAACATCTCTACAAGGACTGCCAGCTCCTTAAGCGCTTTCTTGAGGTAGATAGCATGCCAAGAAAAAAAAAAAAGCGAAGAGGCAAAGAAATGAAGAAGGCGCGGTGGGCAAGGATCGAG